CCTTCCTAATTCCATCTATTCCGGTTCTCCTCCTCCAGGGGACACCACACAAAGGATGAGATCCGCTCCGTTTCCAACCCCTGCAGAATTGGACGCATATGCTAAGAAGGTTGCCAACAACCCCCTCACCATCAAGATCTTTCCCAATAGTGTCAAAGTCCCCCAGCGTAACCACGTGCGCCGCACGGTCAACGGGCTGGACACGTCAGGCCAGCGCTACAGCCCCTATCCCCCCTCTCAGGCCAGTGCAAAGACGGGCCTCCTCGCCATCGTCAAGGCGCCCTCGGTCAAAGGCGTCCTGAAAGATTTTGACGGTAGCCGGGCTCGCTTGCACTCTGAAGTCAGTATGAACCCTCCCACTGGACCCCATCAAGTGGCTTCAACCAGCACTTTAAACCACCACCCACCTCTGCCCAGCCTGCCCCGGCCCCAGCACAGCTTGACCCACCAACAGCAGGACCTGCCTCAGACTTTACACCTACCCCTTTCTCAGCCGCAGGCTCACACTCAGAGTCTTAGACACCCTCCTCCTTTGGCCCTGCACCCTCAGGGGCCAAGCAGACTCCAGACTTTGACCCAGCACCCAGCCCTCGGCCACCCGCAGGGCCCCCCCGCAGTCATGCTTCAGCAACAGCTGCCGCCTGGCCCGCAGGCGAGCAGAAAGCTGCCGGATGGCGACGCGCCACCTAACGTTACCGTCTCTACCTCAGCCATTCCACTCTCGATGGCCGCCGGGATGCACCAAGTCCGGCAGGCCGACCTGAGCAGCATTGTGCATCAGCTCAACCAGTTCTGCCAAGCGCGGGGCCAGGGCCCGGGGGTCAACTCCATGTGCGAAGGCCACCTCGCCAACCCTAGTCCCATCAGTCGCAACCTGCTCATCAGCGCGTGCTCCAGGGTCTCCATGCACAGTAACCCGGCCACGCCTGGCTTTCCCCCACCCAACTGCGTCATTGGCCCCCAAGAAAAAGCCACTGCTCCGATGGGAGCGCATCCCCCGCCCAGCGTGGCCGGTTTGAACCACTTGCCTTCCAACCACGCTGACCCGCAGCATCTGCAGCATCACGTTCACCCCCAACCGAATCCGCTCCAACACACCGCCCAGCAGCAGCAGCAGAAGATGCGCTCCTGGAACCCCCATCAGCTGACCCACGTCCCCCATATTCAGAACAGCATGACGCACCTCTGCAAACAGCCTTCTAGGGACCCATCCTTCCAGTTCAAAGGCATGGGCTACCCCGGGGAAATGCTAGGCGGTCAGCCGTACTCGCTGAAGCCTCCGTTGGACCGGCCCACCCCCTCCCCACCTGTCAACAGCAACATGCCCGGCCCCATGGCCCACTACCCCAACAGCCACTACTTCCAGTCCCACATCTGGAGCAGCAGCATCCTTCCCACACCCAACAGTGACAGCTCGGGGTCTCAGGACGTAGCCATGCCATTCCACAACGCCGGCCCGGGAGGGTGTACCACGCTGGACTGTGGGCCCCCTGGGGCTCCCCATTACAGGCTCGCAACAAGCTCCACCACGTCCTCGTCCGGCCAGACTAATCTGACGCAAACGGCAGATTACTTGGGTGGGGACTTCCAGACGCCCTACTTCCGCGATCAGAATCTCGGGTTGATGGGCAAGATGCACAGGCCCCCTCTGAGCAGGGTAGGTCCAGAGGTCGGAGATGGCAGAACCGCTCTCATCCAGCACCCAGGGTACAGATAAGCTATGGCCTTGTCTCCACAACCATTATCAAGCCCCTTTGTTTAGTCTTAAGAAAGGAATCACAAGAATAAAACTCAACAGATAACCTAAAGACATCAAGTATTAAAGAGGGTAAAATAATATATTTAACGCAGAACAATAGTTTTTTTTCTTCTTTTTGTTTCTTTGTTTCATCTTGCAAGTGATCAATTCCTTGATTTTTAGTTTTGCTTTTTTTTCCTGGCTCCACAGGTAGCTATTATTTCCTGAAGAGTGTGTGTGCGCGGGCGTGTGTGTGTGTGTGTATACACACTCGTAATCCTCTCTGCTTCTTCCTCGACCATACATTGAATTTCTGTGCCTGGATTTGAACAGATTCCGTGTTATCTCTACTTCAGATCCGTAACGTGACTTTTCTTATGCATGTAAGAAAGAAGTAAGTTATCGCTCAGAAAAATGGTGACATCAACTGATATTTTTGCTTTTTTTTTGTAATCTTACAGGACAATATCAGGAATTTTTTGGCTGTGACTGGTTTAGACTTCACTTTGGTGGTGACGCTAAAATTAAGTACAATCACTTCCATGCAGAGAAAAGGAGACTGATGGGAAAGGGGCTACAATAACAAGTAGGATACATGTCAGCGGAGGTTTTTGTTCTGTTAATTTATTTGTATAATAGGACTACTACAGATAAACTCCTTTCAGTTGGTAAAAGAAGCATGTAATCAGGTTATGAAGATAAAGCAGGAGCAAATATGACAAAAAAAAGCCAATGCTCTGTTCGGCTTATAATGCTGCAGTGAATTCAGGTAATTAAAAAAAAATAAACCTTGTTGCTAGAGCCACATTTGGCAACAAGATTCAGAAATACTAAGGGCAGAAAATAATGAAAACCGTTTCCCTCCTCTACCTTAAAATGGCCAAAGTCAGGTTGATGAAGACACACCAGTATGAAATTGTGCCATCACATCTTTGTCTACTTTTCAGACTTTTTTTTCTTTCGTCTTTTTTTTTTTTTTGTAACAAAATGTATTACTTGAATGTCGAGGCTCTTCGTTTTGCAGGTATCGAAAGGGATCTGTCGACTCTGTGGACACTGAAGAAGTTCGTTTCAATGCGATGCAGAATCTAAAGCCAAGGCGGAGCTTTCTAACCTCCCGACCGGGTTAGGAACCGAGTCGCATGTGAGTTGCTACTGATGCTGATGTGAAGTCTGCTCTAATAGACCAAATTGATCACTTGCAAGATCATTCGGAGGGTAAACGAAACCGGCGTTTCGGTTCAACGTGAAAAACAGCAAATGCATTGTTTATTTTCTTGTACACTGGCTTACCTACTAGACTACTGTAACTTTTAATGATTGTGTGTGAATGCTGCCGGCGCAGTTAAAAGTGAGCGTTGGCATGTGTGCGCAAGTGTGTATGTGTGTATAATACCACAATGACACCTATGTTTTGTTCATCTAACTCCCTAACAGTCCTTAAAAAGCCTTAAGTGTTTGGTCCTTGGACTTTCCTTTGACAATGAGCATGGTTTTAATAAAAAAAAAAACCCAAATAAAGAGAAGGAGGAGGGAAAGGACATACAGAAACAGCAATTTCTTTTTTCTTTTTTTGCCTTTTAATTTGAAGTTTTTTTTCTTTTTTTTTTCTTCCATCAAGAGCAATTCCTTAGATTCCTTATGGTTGGAAAGCAAGAAAAAGGAGGAATATTTTGTAATTATATATTTTTAGCAACGTGTAGTTACTGAGCTGTAACTTTTGTTTTTCCAGTTTCAAAGCTTCAGTTTGCAGTTGTGACTATTTATACTTGATTTGCTTGTTATTTAAAATTTATTTTCCTCTTTTGTTTCTTGTACTATTGCTGTGAAATGGAAGAAGGTCCACGAGGCTTTCTTTTGTGTCATTCTGTACGACAGATAAGAGGCAAGAGCGTGAGAGTTGTGCTACTCTTTTTGTAATATTGTAATAATAAAATAAAGTTCTAATTTATGCTTTGAAATGTGTCGGAACTGTCATTTGAACAATTTGGAGGAGTCAGGCCTGATTTGATTCATGTTTGGGATTGTTGTCATTGATCAGGGTTTCTCAAAATTCAGTGTTCCTGAAACTCAGTGAGGACCACTTAGCTCATTAAACAAAAAGTCATGGACCACGTAACCCTTGCGATAACGCATCTTAATATATGATGCAACCTGAAATGAAAATATTAGTCTTAATTCACTTATTGGTGTTTTCTTCATCTTAATGACAAGAGTGGTGCTGTTTGGTAAATGTGATTGGCCACAACAGAGCCATGAACATGGACTTTGAAGATCTACTTGGGTATTTTGTTTTTTACAGATTCTTGCCTACTGATTCTGGAAGTGTCTAAGCTAATGACGTCAAACACATGGAAATTAAAAAAAAAAGTTTTTACTACAAAGTGCTATGTGCATTAACATTTAGGGCTATTTGTGATTTGGAAGCACAATTTAAGGAAAATAGACTTGCGTTGCTTTAACAATCATTTTTTTTTGTTTAACCCATTTCTATCAATTGTATGCATTTTTTTATTAATTAAATAAAAATAATTGCTGTTGACCCGAAAGCAGAGAATCATTCATTACCAAGCAAAGTCATAAAAGGCAAAGAGCAGTTCTAACTGAAGCGATTCCTACCGTTAACCGTTCAAAGGAATCGCTAGTGAACTACACATCCACATTTAGCACCTATGACATCCTCTGATCATATAATCTTCTTGGAGTTTTCTTTCCACCGGTAACTGCAGCTTTTCTTTTGAGTAACCCGGTTTTAATCCAGTTTTCCATCATTATTTTTAACACAATCCTTTTTGGTAAGCTAGCTGTAGCATCGCACTTTGAGCTGACGTCACGGCAAATAAACGGTCGTTTACATGCAGCACCTCGCGGGCCACTAGGGGGTGCCCGTGGACCACCAGACAACAGTTTAAGACTGCTCTAGGTGGAAGGAAGGTGGGTATGATGATCAGTGACCATTCAGGTTTAAGTTTGGCCATCCAACAGTGATGCATGTCAACCGAGTTTAATATATATATGTATAAGAAAAGCTTCTACCTCTTCAAGATTGAGTTATTTGGCCTCAATGGAGAGAAGAATGTTCAGAGAAACCAAGAAGGTTTCAAACCTGGTTGTCGTATGAAGGTGAGACTAATTTGCTGTTAGTAGTACTGGGGCAAAAAGGGTAGAATTATGGTGAAGAATTCAACTTCAACTCAAATCAAAAGAAGATTGAAACTTTGAGATGGCTGGAAATGCATACAAGTACGTCTTTTTTTATATATATATTGTCAGTACACTGGGCAAAAAATGTTCAAATGCATCTCTGAAAAGCCAAAATGATCACCTTTTATTTGCATAACATAAGGAAACTACGACGAGAGCCGCACAGCCAAAGAAGTGACTGAACAAAAAGGTCTGGAGCACGTATAATTTGTAACTGTGTCAGCCGGTGCCGAAGGTGGCGATTGTTGCTCCGATTGCTGTGCTTTCATGCCCTTTTTCCTGGCCTGCCTCTGCCTCATGGCTAGAGGAAGTCGAGTAGACGGAGGCAAGCTGTGAAATCTGCAGGCCTGATCTGACTGCAGTAGATTTAGCTTGTCTGGCTGTGATGAAAATGGGACCTGCATAAAGGGCACCCAGCAGGAGAGGCAGGATCAGCACCTTGGTGATCAGTAGAACGCCATGATGGATTTTAAGCCACACCAGAGGCGCAGGAAGGTTGGGGCGCCTTTGCACCGCTTGCGTTCAAAATCAGCTCGTTGACATACGCATTGCAAGACATTTTAATTAAAAATACAACATTTCATCTAGGATTAAGCAAAACTTGTTAAAGCATGCCTAAAGGTAAATTTTTAAGAGTTATTGACATCAAACACAGAAAGACCCTCAACATTTTCCTTGGTACTGTTGATATTACTTGAATGTTTCTTCTGAAATTCTATTTACAACAACGCAAACACTGCAAGTCAGTTAAGGAAACAGTTCCAGCTGTTCTCTGTTCAACAATAATATGTTTGAGTCGGAAAGCCTTGTTGCTTGTATCATTCAGACTGTGTGACCATTTTTAAGTCTTCATATATTCAGGGGGCTCATCTCAGTGGACTGAGGCATCCTACTCCTTCTCCAAGTGCCCTCCATGAAAATGTCTCTCAAGCTCCTCCCTGTGGAAAAACAAGGACATATTACAAGATCTGGATTTATGTACAGTCTTAGAGACTTTTTGTTTGTTTGTTTTTTTAACAACCTCTGTTAAATCCTCTGGAAGTGCTGTTCAAATCAAGCTTCTGGCCCCGATCACAGTATCCTGGATCCTCACTGATGTTGACCAGGTTGGTGTTCCATTTGTTCCAGTTCATTTCCTCGACCCTAAGGAGACGAGGCGACGCATGCTTCCATTACTTCCAGCTGTGCAACACCTGAGGTTAGTTTAAAATGGCTTGAAACCTTGTGAACTGTGCATCGGTTGACCCTGAACACATAGCTGAATTTTCTGTTAATTATATACAGGACTAAACCTTTGTCTCGGCTCTCTGATTAGTTCTTGCTGAGCTTTCCCAATTTTCCAGCAGCTCAGAAGATGAGTCAGTAGTATCAGGAGTTTTGCTTCACAGCGTAAGAAATCCACCCCCCTCGCCCCCCCAAAAAAGATTATCAACATATAGTTGAAACCAGACATACAATTATATTTAGCCAAATGTTACCTGTTCAGTCCTCCAGGTTAAAGATTACTCCTTTTAACCCACTCTCTTTTTGTCGCAATGCAAAATGTTAGTACTTTAACATATTATTTACTTAAAAATCTAACCTAGTGAAGAGTAATTCAATACGTTAAATCAAAAAACACTTGAATTGGTTCATATCTGATCCAGAACTGGGTTGGCAAAATAACCTAGACTAGGTTTTAACTCCAGCTCAACAGTTTACTATTAATGTTTGGAGTTCTGCAGTATGTTTCTTAATTCTGTCCTCTTACTTTTGCTTCTTTGCTGTTTCTCTGTGTGAAAGTTTTGCTTTCTGTTGCCCATATCCCAAACTTTAGATAAATGAATGATTGCAGGTTCACTTTATTAGTATTTACCTCCAATAATATATTTACAATGCTTTCCATTGTCCTTCCTTCCATCCTTAGTGGACTTCTTACCTGTGTAGGGCCTTTTGTTCATATAAATAATGTATCCAAGTTATTTGCCTCTAAAGCCTACTTCTAGAGGCAAATAAGACGATGAAGCCCTTGTATATCTGAAGAGTCAAACATGGCTGCTCAGCTTGAATGATATGAGCACTGCCTGGATTGAAAGCCTATGACTTAACGTCAGTCAACCCGGAAGGCCTGAAACTCTACAAAGTCAACAGCACTCTAAGAACTTTTGTTGCAAGCTCCATTAGGCTGTGGAAAACCACCAATTTCAAGCCAATTGTGGAAATCTTCATCAAATGTAGCATAAACTAAGCCAATGCTCTGTCTCCAATGTTGTTCTGCACAGACCAGATTGTGTATAAACTTAGAAATGGGGCAACTATCGGTCACCTCCTCTACATAGATGACATCAAGCCGTATGCTAAGAGTGAACAAGACAATGACTCTCCAATCCATATCACCAGGATCTGCAGCTGGGACAGAAGAATGCCAACCAGGCTAGTTAAATGTGGGTGGTGGATGGCAAAGAATCAGGTTTTACAAATCACATAAGTATAAACATAGGTTTCACAGCCATTTGTGTGTTTGAGTAGCTGAAATAAACATAAAGAGGCCTACCTGAAACACCTTCGACGATCGTCTCCAAAAGCGGTGCCGAGTTTCCTCTCCACCCCAGAGCGAAAACTGTTCTTCAGACAGCAGGGTAGTCTGTTCTCCATGTCCATGATTGTGACAGCCCTCTGGGAACGACCACACCAACCCGTTTAACTACTGCTCTCTTCAATAAATAAAAAAAGGAACGCCAGTCACTCACCTGCAGCCTCCAAATGCTGGCACTCTCCTCGGTGATCTTTTCCACTGTGCGGCTCATTAGGGCTATAAGCATGTTGAGGAGCAGGATGTAGGTGAGAATGATGTAGAAAATAAGAAGGACATAGAACACCTCCATGTACTGGTAATCCTGGGTGAACTCCATGTCGCCCATGCCTATGGTGAACTTGAAGAGCTGCAGGGTAGTGTAGGAGATGTTTCTGTAGGTGGGCGTGAAACACTCCGTGTCGGGTTTGGCAGTACCAAACAATCCTTGCCTCCCTTTTCCTGTTGTGTTTTCAGGAGGAGGTTGTATGAGGAGTGTGACCACGGCTGTAACAAGAGACAAAATGTAATTTTATGTCAAAACTGCGGTGAAAATACTGACAAGCCTGGAGTTGTTAACTCTCTACTTACTCAGGAGAAGATAAAATACAGTACCTGCTGAGAATCCAAAGAGGAAAACAACATAAACAAAAAGGAAGCGCAGGATATCGCTGAGGATCATCTGCAAAGAAATCAGGTATTAGATGTCAAATCCTCTACTGCAGTGTCAGTTGCAGCTGATTGATATCGCTACCTTCTGTATCATGACACTGTAGATGCCCATGTGTTTGTCTCCCCTGGAGTAGTAGAGCACATTCACCCAGCTGAGAGCCAGACAGATAACCAGGAAGCCCAGATACTCCTGCCTCCCCGCCCAGTACAGAACAGTGGCGGCCAGGAACAGCAAGCCCTGAGAGAAGCTAGCAACAGCATGGATGTTAGTACGACTCAGTGCATGTGACCCAAGTTTACTTGTAGTCACTGCAGCCTTGGCAATAATAGTCATATCTAGTGAACTATTTCAAATATTGGCTTGTTACAACCACAAACTTGTAACAAAACCACACAATTTGTTTGGATTTTTTTAATATCTATCTGTGACAGTACAGATAGATATATAGCTGTGTGTAGGAAGAAAGATTAAAAAAAAAAAAAATGAGGTCATTCTCTCAGGGGAAGAGTGTATATTTGCCTCATTTTCACTTATTTTTTTGTTTGGAAACATTATTTAATTTCTTTTCGACTTCGTAATCATGAGCTGCTGTGTTTTTGTTTGACATACAAAATTCTAGTAAATCCCTCAAAATGTTAGCAAGTATGTGTGTTAGACACTGTAGAAATAAAATAAAGGTAGAAAAATCTACTCACAAGAGAATCTCATAATATCCATCAATCAGCAGTGACTGCAGCTTTGGCCTCTTCCTCTTCATTTCTATAATCTGGGGATTTTGACAATCACAGAGGTTTTACTAAGCTTAAACTGCCACAAGATGGCAATATAAACCACTGGGTGAAAATGTGGCCCACATACCCCAAAGACAAAGAAATAGCAGTTTGCAAGTAAAGTCAGCAGCTGGCCAAAAACATACAGGTAATCCCAGGCGTC